CCACCTGCCACAGGAGGCTGGGCGGGCAGTGCGGGGGAGGCGTCGGCTGTCAGAGGAGATCGAGCTCTCCTCCCCGCACTGCCAGCCCAGCCTCCTGTGACAGCGAGTCAGGATGGAGAGTGGGTACAAGCACTCAGCGATCAGTGGTCCAGTTCAGGCAAAGGTTAGAAGCAGTGGACACATTTTGATTTGTCTTGGAAAATCTTGACATCTTTTTCCAGTAGAGTAAAACTATCGGTTGCAAACTACCCCAAAAAGTAAATGGGGAAAGTTTACAGTTTTGTCTGTTTCTTGTGGGTTTAAAGGAGAACAATGAAGTGAGCGCTTTTCACTCGCCTCATAGTTCTAGCCAACCTGTGACAATGAGACTGTCACAGGTTCGCTCAGTAGATCGGGAAGTGAGCGAGCACATACCGGCGTCCGCTCACTTCTCGATCCTGTCACTGCTCTCTGCCGTGACAGGGGAGGGACTGGATTCCCCACTCCCTGCTCCAATCCTCCAGCGCTGACTGGCGGAACGGACGGGGGAGGGGGCGGGTACAGCTGGCTCTGCCTCTAGATAGGCAGAGCCAGCTGTCACTCACGCAGCTGGGCGGATCCAGACATAATTGTTGGGATCCGCTTCAGCTGCGGCGTCTCAGTATACCGCGAGCAGTAGCTTGTGGTATACTGAGCTTAGGGTGACGGGAGGACGCTAGTTTGTGTCCTCCCGTTACCCTGAGAACTATGGGGAAAAGCCCTGACCCCATAGTTCTTCTTTAAGCTACCTATAGACATGAGAACGGTTGCCCTGACCCCATAGTTCTTCCTTAAGCTACCTATAGATATGAGAACGGTTGCCTGATCCGATCATTTGGCCTTTTCATATGATGGTTTGTCTGAGGGCCTTCCCAGATGCCTGACTAGATACTGTCATAATAACTCTAGTTCCAGCCTGCACCATTCAGTCTTTGGACTCCCTTTAAACCTTGTTGATCGGCAGAGCTGTCCTTTTAGTTCTATTCAGCTCCCTGCACCACTTTTCCAATCCTAAAAGGTGGGTGAAGTGTGACCATGCCCAAGCCCAACATACACTTACAATAACAGATTGTATCTGGTTCATTCTGGCCTTTTTTACAGTGTGCAGAGATCTGATCCAATGGTTGGGTGGGTGTGACAATTTACTCAATGCTTGCACTTTATTGCCAAGTCATAATGCGAGGGTTTGTTCACCTGAAGTTACAGGTCCAATGTGATCTATAAATGCATAACAAATCTGTTTTTTTTCTTTTTATGACTTTTACATTCTTTCACAGTCTGTCATGACGAAGCCAAGCGTTTATACCTTCTTATGGTAACACAATAATTGTAACAATATCTGCCTCTGTTAATAAGTAAATGGAAATCTACTTTTGAGAGCACCTTATCAAGATGCTGCTGAGGAACTAAAACATGATCAGTTCTCAATCGGTTTCCTATTTTCTACAGGCTTCCACAAACTGTGTTCATAAACTGGCTGTTCCCTCACTGGGGATGTCTCGACCCATCCGGATTGCATGGTTCCAGACCCCGCCACAACTTTAGCTCGGCTGAGATTTGGCAATGGCATGAGGGTTTTAAAGAAATCGTTCCCTTTTCTTTTGGGAAAACAGATCATCAGTTTCAAAGTATTTGTGTTTTCTGTGCTTGTGGTAAAGAACCATTTTTGGTTCTTGCACATGCCAATCATGGGAAACCTCGAGTGTGATGGGTGTGTAATTATTTTTTTTTTTTTTTCTTTTTTCCTTGTTAAATATCAATTCAAAATAAAATCCACAGAACACGATCCAGCTAGTCAGCTAATTCGATGGATATTGTGCTGGGGAAATGTGGTCGTGTACTGTAGTGCCTACGTGCACCTTTCCTGTGCTAGCCCTAAATTGATGTGTCCGGCTGCTTTATACTGCTTTTGTTGGGTTTTACTTCCCAGAATTATTTTTTAACCAATCAGTGAGCTTCTTATGTTATTTAGGAAACATAACTATACTTAAATCAGAGCACTAAATGTACCATACCTGTTTCTAAAAATTCTATTCTGATTATTATACTCGATCCTGTACTTTCTAAGTTACTGACAATATTAAATGAAACTGAAGCACTTTGGTTAGGGTACGGGAGGGTTATAACTAGGGATGCACCGATACCGGTATTTCGCTATCTAG